TATTTTTTAAGACATTTAATCTGCGAATAGAAAACCCTGAATCTTAAAAAAGCTAAGGGTTTGGGGTTTTTACAACTATATAACCTTCTGTACTTGCCTTTGAAGTCTTTACTTGTCACTTTGGTTAAATGGATTTTTTTTTTTTTTTGCAGTACGCAGGCCTCTCACTGTTGTGGCTTCTCCCGTTGCGGAGCACAGGCTCCGGACGCGCAGGCTCAGTGGCCATGGCTCACGGGCCCAGTCGCTCCGCGGCATGTGGGATCTTCCCGGACCAGGGTACGAACCCGCGTCCCCTGCATCGGCAGGCAGATTCTCAACCACTGCGCCACCAGGGAAGCCCTTGAAAAATATTTATTTACTTATTTATTTATTTTGGCTGTTCTGGGTCTTAGTTGCTGCACACAGGCTCTTAGTTGTGGCATGCATGCTAGATCTAGTTCCCTGACCAGGGATGAAACCCGGGCCGCCTGCATTGGGAGCGCAGAGTCTTACCTACCCACTGGGCCACCAGGGAAGTCCCTTAAATGGATATTTTTGACACACTTCTCCCAAATCAAATTCTTTCTTTTTTTAATATATCCAATTTTTAAAATTTTTATTTATCTATTTTTGGCTGTGTTGAGTCTTCGTTGCTGCGTGCGGGCTTTCTCTAGTTGCTGTAAGCAGGGGCTACTCTTCTTTGTGGTGCGCGGGCTTTTCATTGCGGTGGCTTCTCTTTGTGGCAGAGCACGGGCTCTAGGCACGTGGGCTTCAGCAGTTGTGACACGCGGCTCAGTAGTTGTGGCTCATGGGCTTTAGAGCGCAGGCTCAGTAGTTGTGGCTCACGGGCTTACTTGCTCCGCGGCATGTGGGGACCAGGGCTCAAACCTGTGTTCCCTTCATTGGCAGGTGGATTCTTAACCACTGCGCCAGGGAACCCCCCAAAATAAAATTCTAAATGAAGTTTTTTTTTGACCTGGGGCCAACTTTGGGATTTTCCAAAGGGCCCCTAGTATATTTGTTCTCTCTCCTTATAAAAAGAGAAATGTGAAGCTAATTAGGCTTATTTGATATGTTAAATTACAAAGAAAACATTGCCAAATAAGAAGTGATGTTTAACTTTAGCTTATCTTTGTGTGGGTATGTTATTAACATAAGTGTTCCAGAACTTATATAAAATTCCTAAAAATCTGATATGCATGGTATAATGTTACAAGTTATAATCCTAGTTACCGTCTTTTTTTTTTTTTTTTTTTTTTTGGATGGATACTCCAATGGCTTTATTAACTCCTTTCTGGGGACGGCAGGATGTTATAGCTGGAGAGAGGAAAAGGAAGCCAGGAAGCTGTGGTCTCAATATGGGTCATTGAAGGGGGTGACCTGCATCTCTCGGGACCCTCTTCCTATCCACCGTAAGCATGGGCACGATGAATAGCAAATTTTTATTCAGGGCATCCAGCTGCTTCATCTCCTCCACGCTAAAGGTGAAGTCAAACACCTGGATGTTCTGAAGGATATGGGAAGGTGTGACACTCTTGGGGATGCAGCTCACTTTCTGCTGGACCTGCCACCTGAGCAAGATCTGAGCTGGAGACCGGCCATGATTTTCAGCCAGTGCCAGGACCACTGGCTCCTCAAGCAGGACAGGCTCATCAGGATCACGCCAAGCACGCTCAGAGGAGCCCAGAGGGCTATAAGCAGTCACCTCCAGGCCGCGTGCTTGGCAGTGGGCAATCAGCTCATTCTGAGCCAGGTATGGGTGGCATTCCACCTGCAGGACAGCTGGGCACACCGAGGCCACGCTGAGCACATCCTCGATCTGCTGACTGCTGAAGTTGGACAGGCCCAGTGCCCTCACCAGCCCCTTAGCCACCGGTGCCTCCAGAGCCTTCCCAGTCTCCTTGTAGTGGGTGGAGTCATAGCGTATAGTCCCATCAGCATTCTTAGGAAAGGGGTTGTCTCTCGCTCAAAGGCATGAGGCCAGTGCATCAGGTACAGGTCCAAATACTCCAGCTGGAGGTCAGCGATTGTCTTCCAGAGGGCAGGCTCCACATCCTCAGGGTGGTGATTCGTGTTCCACAGCTTGGAAGTCACAAACAGCTCCTCCTGAGGCACCAACTTGCCAGGTCCCACATCCTCCTTCAGGGCTTCCCCAATCTCAGTCTCATTGTCGTAGATAGCACAGTCAATGTGGCGGTAGCCTATACTCAAGACATACTTAATAACTGCTTTTACCTGGCCAGGCTCGCTCTTCCGGTGCCCAGTCCAATCAGGGACATCTTCGTCCAGTGTGCAGGAGGATACAGGAAGCCACCATTGCCCCCTCGGCACGAGCACAGGATGTTAACAGGGAAGTATGGCTTTTCAGCTCAGTCCTGTGCCCTGCTAGCTACCCAATGGGCCTCAGCTTCCCAGATTCCTAGTTATTGTCTTAAAAATGTTGGGTGTCACAGAAATAACCAAATTTCCTTGTCAATTTCCATTATAATGAACTCTCATCAGATCTCCAACCATGGGCATTTTAAAGTTCGTTGTCATTTACAGACAATTATTGTTTTACTTTGATGCTTTTGCAAAAGTGAGATTCCTGGAAAGGACCCTACCAAGTGTTCTTGACCACTAACATCAGTGTCGAATTACAAGGTGTGAAAACGTGGGTACAGGGACTTCCCTTGTGGTCCAGGGTCTACGACTATGTGCTCCCATTGCAGGGGGCCCAGGTTTGATCCCTGGTCCGGGAACTAGATCCCACGTTCCACAACTAGGAGTTCGCATGCTGCAACTAGAAGATACTGCATGCTGCAACGAAGATCCTGCACGCAACAGCAAAGATCCCATGTGCCACAACGGAGACCCGGCACAGCCAAATAAATAAATAAACAAATAAAAATATATAGCAAAATAAAAGAGCCAAATTTAACACAAACAAACAAACAAATTAAAAAATTTGGGTACATGTTTCACAACTGAAGAAGACCCCACCTGATATCTGGCCCTGTTTAAATGCCAAAGACCTCAAAATCCAATTGACTAGGAAGAGAACTAGGCAACAGTGAGGTAGACTGTTTCCTCCCAAGAAGTCAGATTAAGAGCATTTCCTTCCATTCTTCCTTCCTTCTCGGACCATCCTTTTCCTAATTCTTACATCATGAAGGTCTTTATTGTTCTCTTCTCCACCTTTTGGCTTGCTCTAGCCTGGAAAGATAACTGTTCACCTACCTTAGACCATTGCAAAGAAAGGTAAACTGACTGTTGGACTGGCTTGGACGCTGGTGATCCTGTAGCTCTTTCTTTCCGTCACAGACTTCTCCCTGATTTATAACACCTCAGTTTCAACAGAACAAGCTCACTGCATAAACATTTCTGGGGTGGGGAGACATAGTTATGCGAAATACATAAACAGGCCAACTGGCTTAAAGCAGTGTCCCCAGTTTTCTAGCTGGTTTGGATCATGGGGACCCTGGCTCAGGAGTACTCTCCAAACCATGGACATTGTTTTGTTGCTAGTAATTATTACTGTCTCCCTGATAAGCTGGGTTCTCTCAAAAGTTTTAAAGGCATGTGGGCAGCCACTGACCAGCCAACACATGGTCTCTCTCTGACTGAAGTGACAAAAGAGAACAGAAGAACGGAACCAGGGCCAAGAATACAAGCCTGACATCACCTCTTGTGAATGCTACACTAAGAGCAGAAGAGGCAAATGGTGATTGAGGGTCATGTTAGTGCTGATATTTTTGACCAAACCTCTTGAATGGTCAAGAGGATGAGAAAAGGGAGAATTACTGAAATAAATTTCTAGGCCAAAGATGGAGCCACTCCTGCCCAGAGTGCCACAGCAAGAGAGCAAAACTTAGTAACTTTGGTATCTCTGTAAATGTTTTGCTTGACCAGAAACACAGTATATCTAGTCAGCCAATCCCCAAGCTCTGGGCTTTATAATTACTTCCTTGTTCTTTATTCATTTTCTATTTTTCTCTTCCATGTTCGTTTTGTTTTGTTTTTTTGTTTTGTTTTGTTTTTTTTTTTTTTTTGGCCTCCAAGTGGCTTGCAGGGATCTTAGTTCCCTGACCAGGGACTGAACTTAGGTCCTCAGCAGTGAAAGCGCAGAGGAGTCCTAACCAATGGACCGCCAGGGAATTCCCATTTCTTCCTTGTTCCTTATTCTTTATCCTATAAAAGTGTCCTGCCTTCAGTCCCATGTTGCAGTTCTTTGGACCCTTGGGAACAAACAGTGGTGGCTTCATGAAGTGTTAAAGTATGTTTAACACCTAAATTCTCTTAATCATTTTTTAACAGTACTAATCTGTTAGAAGGTTAATACTGAAGTATTCACAGATTAAATTATGAGATGTGCTTTAAAATAATACTATTGGATGGGGCAAAGATTGATGAAACAAGATAGATTGGTGTATGTTGATGATTATTGAAACAAGCTAATGGACACATGAGGGTTCATTATACTATTCTCTCCATTTCTGTGAATGTTTGACATACTCCATTAAGAAAAAAAGAAAAATAACATGGGGCTTTCTACTCACAGAATTTCGAGCCAGTCATGACCCCCGGTTACTTCAATAAAGCGGGTTGACTATTGCAGCAATCAGAGGGACGGCTGTAAGCAGCAACGCAAGCAAAGTGCCTTACGAAATGCTGTTTTATTATTACTCATTGTCATTACTATGGTTGCCAACACTAATTAGGCGCCTCCGAGTGTTCCCGCCTCCTCTCCCTGTTAATGGTTTATTCCACTCTTCGGCTGGTTCTTTCCCGTGGTTCCTTCCTCCTAGTCCCGCGCTGTACCCCCCCGCACCCCCAATGGTTTAGCCTGGCTTCCCAGGGGAAACCCGGTGGGGCGGAGCACGAGGTTTCTGAGAGCGGCCGCGGTCCCCTCTCCGGAGACCACTTGGACCGCTCCGCGTCGGGAGTGGGCAGGTAATCGTGGGGCAGGGCGCGAGTCCTGGGCTCCGACTGGCCAGCTCTGGAGTAAACATCCGGCTGGGTGGGGCGGGGCCGGAAGTGGAAAGCGAAGGAGGCGGCTGAGGCGGCTCCGGAGGTTCAGGACTCGGAGTCGGTGCCTCCAGGTGCCATGGGCCGGGCTGGCCCGCGCTGAGGGCGACGCAGGGCGCTGATAGGGACGCGGGGCTGGGCCATGGCCGGCGCTCGGGCTGCCGCCGCCGCCTCGGCGGGGTCCTCGGCTTCTTCAGGCACCCCACAGCCGCAGGAGCCGGGGCTCGGGGAGCTGCTGGAGGAGTTCTCCCGGACTCAATACCGGGCCAAGGACTGCAGCGGGACGGGAGGCTCTAAGGTGAGTCCGGAGGCGCGATGAGCAGAAAGAGAAGGTCCCTGGTTTGCGACGTTGCTGAGGTCAGGGGTCATAGGACAGAGAGAGAGGGAAGTGCCCAGTGTCTGGACCCGGAGAGTAAGGGTCGGGTTTAAAAACCGAAAAGGAGGAACTGGGCTCAGAACGAGCCAAGCCAAGGAAGGACGACGTTTTGGTTTGAGACAAAAGGGTGTGGAGGTCAAAGATTAGCGCTGAGTGGCCTTGTTCAGAGATTAGAAAAGAGGAGCTGAGGAGGGTTATTCCCATGCATTAGGTATGGGGACAAAAACCCTCGTGTCTAGATTTTTTGAAGTGTGTAGAGGATTTATCCAGGTCAGAGATCAGAGTGAAGGGGCTGGAGGGGTGGGGCAGAATGGAGCCAAGAGATAAACTGAGTGTGTTGCTCCCTTGTATAGTCTCAGCATGACTTTAGAATTAGGCCCATCCCTTTCCTTTCCCCATAAAGCAGGAAGGCAACTCATACTCCCTCTGTTCCTTTGTCAAAAGCAAGTCTTAGTTTCTCTTTTTTTCTACTTTTGGGATTCCCTTCAGGCTCCTTATTGCCAGACCTGGAAGGCTTCCAGTCTGGTCAGGCCATTCCCATCTTAGGCATTGCCTGACAGTCTGATGGGAATCTTGCCGACCCTGCCATCTTTCATCCCCCACGTGGTTTTGGCAGGTTTAGCATCAGGTTTTCCAATGGAATTCTGTTCCCTCCCAGGCCATGAAACTCTGGTTTGGCTCCAGGGGTTACCTATGCTAGGACTTACTGAACTTGGCATCTGCTAGTCTGAAGTAATGCAGGGAAGACTTCAGTAATGATGGGTCTCCCCCAGTCTCTAAATGACCGAGTATTTTTCAGAGCTTAGCCCGAGGACCACCTGTTTCAGCATCATCTGGGGTGTTTGTTAAAAATAAAGGTTCCTTGATCCCACCCAGTCCTACTGAGTTAGAATTTCTGAGGGTGGGAATCTGGAATTTGTATTTTCTAATAGGCTTGTTAATGATACTCATGCCCCTTGAAATTTGAGGATTTCTAATTCTTGTGAGTTTTTCCCTCCACATTGGTCTTTTGGGTGGCTAGAGGGTCAGTTTTGCTGGGCCCCCCTTCCTTCTTACACACCCCTGAAGATTAGGGTTGTAAAAAGTTATACTTGACTCACTCCACCTGGTCCAAAACTTCTGATCTTTTGCAGACTTGTTGAGATGTTACAGGTTTTATGTCGTTCTTCTGGTGGGTCTTTCCCTGAACGGAGCAAAACAAGAGCAATTTTAAGGGAGGTGTTCCTTCTATTTCATAAGCAAATTGCGTGTAAGGAGACAGCTTTGTCTGCATCTTTTACTCATTACACTAACTAGAGCTTCTAGGTACCGGTCTGTGGCTGGAGAATGGGGAAGAATCTGGAGTCAAAGGAAGATAATGGATTAGTGTCGGTTAAAGTAACCTAGAGAGGGACTTCCCTGGTGGCGCAGTGGTTAAGAATCTGCCTGCCAATGCAGGGGACAGGGGTTCGAGCCCTGGTCCGGGAAGATCCCACGTGCCGTGGAGCAACTAAGCCCGTGCGCCACAACTACTGAGCCTGCACTCTAGAGACCGCGAGCCACAACTACTGAAGCCCATGCTGTGCAACAAGAGCAGCCACCGCAATGAGAAGCCCGCGCACTGCAACAAAGAATAGCCCCTGCTCACCGCAGCTAGAGAAAGCCCGTGTGCTCCAGCAAAGACCCAATGCAGCCAAAAATAAAAATAAATAAATAATTAAAAATAAAATAAAGTAACTTAGAGCAGGGGTTCTTAATATTTTATGGATTGTGGACCCCTTTGAGAATCTAATGAAGGGTATCAACCTCTCTTCAAATGCTTATCATACACAGTTTCACCACCACATTGAGGGGTTCAGAGTCTCTCCCAGAGTTTACCATGTGGGTTCATGAACCACACGTTTAGGGTCTGTGATCTAGCAAGATGTCTTTTCCTGGTATTGAATTATAATCACAGAGGCACATTGTCATTCCCAGAGACCTCTCCAGGTCAGGAACCGCCTAATTCTCAGAACGCCAGAATCTTCTTTATGCTCAGATCTCCTCCTCTGTGCAGGTTGAGCGCATTGAGAAGAGGTGTCTGGAGCTGTTTGGCCGAGACTACTGTTACAGCGTGATCCAAAATGTGAATGGGGATATCTGCGGCCACTACCCCCAGCACATCGTGTTCCTGGAGTATGAGAGTTCTGAGAAGGAGAAAGACACGTGAGCATCATGTAACCAAAGCGTGCCCATCTGGGAAGGCCTTGACAGCTCATCCCCGGGGTTAGGAAAGTCTGCAGCTGGGTGGGGCAGGCTCACTTTTCCCAGGTGTCAAGCCTCATTGGCATCTTTGTTTTCTTCAGGGTTTCACATCTTAGGTTGGCAGAGTAGCACAGCGTAGAAGGAGGGGTTGGGAGTCACAGCCCTGGCCTCCCGTTTTACTCCTACCCTATAGCTCATTGTCCTGAGACAGCTGACTTCACAGCTCACCTCTCTGAACCTCAGTGTTTTCTGTTCTGTTTTTTTCTTTTTTTTTTAAGAGAGCAAGTGGGAGGTATGCTTTGTCAACATGTGGAAGGGCACTTACCATATGTAGAGATTAAGAGCCTGAGGTCAGCGTACGTGCCGGCTGCCCTGCTTGCTGGCTGTGTAACTAACTTGGGCAAGGCGCTGAACCTCTTTGTCTCTTAGTTTCCTCATCAGTTTCTACCTCTATGTAGAAAAGTGGCTTTTGCAGTTCCTGCTGATAAACAGGAGTATTCCAAGCCTGACATGTGTGCTGTAAGAATTAGAAATAAGAGCTACCGTTTATTGAGGGCCTCCCAAGGCCCGAGTGCTTTGCGTGTGGTAACAGTTCACACCAGAGCAGACACAGAGCACCCAGCACAGGATGCAGCCCATAGGCAGTCAGTAAATGGTAGCAGTTGTTTGACACTGATAAATAATCACTGATGCTCTAGGAAGTGCTTTCTGTTGATCTCAAAGTTTGTTCCCCTAGGCGCCCTGCTTGCTGTTGATTTTAAGGGAATTCCAGAAGCTGTTGCCAACAATATCCATGAAAGCCTGGCCCCGTGGAAGCACTGTGGTGATGAGTGCTATGGTAGAGTCGTGCTGCAAAGTGCAGCGGGCCATCACTGCTCACGGTGCGCCCATCTGCGCACCCAGGAATGGCTAGAGATTCTGAGTCTTGGACTCCAGAGCCACTGAATCAAAATCACAGCATAACAAGATGGCCCAGTGATTCGTACGCACATGGAGGTTTGAGAAGCACTGCTGTAGACGAACTGGGGAGAAGGGTGGATTCTGCCTGGTGTGTGTCTCGGGAGACCTTTCAGCTGGATTTGGAAGGATGAGTAGGGGTGTCCCTGAAATGTCCTTTGTTAGGGACCAGCTTGTATATGGTCTTGATCATCAGGCATGTGGACTTGTGGGTGTTAGTGGTTATTGGGCTAGTACCCCCTGAGCACTCATTGAAATCACAGATTCCAAGGTCCCTGAATCACAATTTCCAGAATCTGTGCCTCAGAGAGCTCCCTAGATGCGTCTCATCCTTGCTATAGCCTGGGAACCGCAGGGAGCCAGAGAAGCCTTTCAAGCGGAGGAGTAAAATGGGAGATCTATAAGTGTGCCCTGTAATGAGGTCATGGTGGGGTGCACTGAGAAAAAAGAATGTATTGGGAAAAGGAATTGAATGTAGATCAGAGCACTTGTATGACTGCCTCTTCTTTCTGTCACCACCACGGCGCTCCCATCTTGCCTAGCGGGGTCTAGCCACCCAGGCTAGGGCCACCGCAGCATATCCCTAACCCTAGAGGAGTTGTGGAGTTTGTTTTTGTTTGTTTGTTTTTTGGCGGTACGCGGGCTTCTCACTGTTGTGGCCTCTCCCGTTGCGGAGCGCAGGCTCAGCGGCCATGGCTCACGGGCCCAGCCGCCCCGCGGCATGTGGGATCTTCCCAGACCGAGGCACGAACCCGTGTCCCCTGCATCGGCAGGCGGACTCTCAACCACTGCGCCACCAGGGCAGCCCTGTTTGTTTTTATTTATTATTTGGTTGTGCCGGGTCTTAGTCGTGGCACGTGGGCTCCTTAGTTGTGGCTTGTGAACTCTTAGTTGTGGCACGCATGTGGGATCTAGTTCACTGACCAGGGATCGAACCCAGGCCCCCTGCGTTGGGAGCACGGAGTCTTACCCACTCCGCCACCAGGGAAGTCCCGTGGACTTTGTTTTTACTTTTCACTTCTTGCAAGGCCTCGAAGTGATACTGAGTGGGCGATGCCTGTTAAAGAGAAGGGAGTATGTGCATGTTCAGGTGGGAAGAAGTAGAACTTTTTGCTTCTTTACACATGCCTGGACTTGGTGTTAATATGACACTAATTAGACTGAGTTACACAGGGTAGAACTGGATTCAGGAAGTGGTTTGGTCCTCTTAACCCACCTCCCCAGTTGAGCCCGTATCTGGGACTGGAAGCCTGGATGGGGATCTCTAAACAACGAAGACATGAGTTTGTCAACGAGGCAAACTGCTGCCATGAGGCAGACCCCAGGGGTCTAGTTGCAGGTCCTACCAGAGAGATGAAGTCCCTACCTTCAGATCTGGTGGGTAACACAGACCAATCAACGAGCAATGACAGTGTAACAAAGGCCAGAATTAGGGCAGGTACAGGTGAAGCACTGGGAGACAGTGGTTAAAGTTCTGCACTTGCTAATTCCAACTCGTGTGTGAGCGTAGGGTGGGGGGGGGTTGTTCTCCCATTCCACCAACTTTCAGACGCCAGCCTTGTGTTTTACAGATAACATTAGATCCCACAGGTTAAGGGCTCAGTCCCACAAGACAGACATAAATACACAAGCTCACTTTCATTCATTCAAATATGAGTATCAGGTGCCTGACACAGCCCAGTGCTTAGCACAGTAAGGGAAAGACGCTGAGGCCAAGAGATAAAAATAAAAACAGGAACCACTGAGAACAGAAACTGAATTGGTTCTTTGAGTAGGGGACCCAGGAAAATAAAGCACCAGCTAGCCTAACAAGAAAAAGGTGCCTTCCTTCACATGACAAGACTGCCCAGAGCCTCTAAGAGGGAAATGCTGGCATATTCTCTCCCTCAGTTTTGTGGAGAGTTTGCTGAATGGAAGGATTCAGCCTGGGAGAATCATATGCAGTTTCAAGGCTTTTAGAGCTGCTGGAGTGAGCTCCATGAGAGTTGGTTAAAACAGATGGTGCTGACCACATCTGTGCAAATGGACGGAGGCCACCAAAAGGTGGGAGGGAGACTACTGTGAGCAGTACTGTGTGTGCTCAGTTTTATATTATCTTGGCATCTGAGTTTAATTAGGCCATTGCTTCATTCTGAGGTGCCTTTTTTTTTTTTTTTTTAATGTTTTGGCTGCATTGGGTCTTTGTTCCTGTGCATGGGCTTCTCATTGCGGTGGCTTCTCTTGTTGTGGAGCATGGTCCCTAGGCGCATGGACTCGGTAGCTGTGGCATGTGGGCTCAGTAGTTGTGGCACACGGGCTTAGTTGCTCCGCGGCACGTGGGATCTTCCCGGACCAGGGCTCTAACCCGTGTGCCCTGCATTGGCAGGCGGATTCTTAACCACTGTGCCACCAGGGAAACCCTGAGGTGCCTTTTTATTTCATAGAGAACCTGAGTGAGGGGAAGGTGGCAGAACTTACTTTTCAGTGAGCCATGTTTTTTCTAGGACCTGGCTGGTTGGCCTGTGCCATCCTACAGGCACCTTGAAGAGGCACCGCAGCCTTCCACCTTCCATCAAAAAAGGAAAAAAATCTTGATCGTAAAAATAACATGTAGTCACTTCTTTGTTGTTTGAATTGGTTATGGTAAGGATGTAATAATTCTGTGATTTAAAACAAAATGTTTAATAAAAATGAAAAAAAACCTTAAATCAGACCTTACAGAAAAATACACCATAGGAAGTATAAGTCCTCCTATTTTATCCTCTGTTCTCTTTCCATGATCACCAAACTCTTGGTCCAGGTTTTTATTTGAAGACCGCTGTTTAACTTCAATTTCACACCTTCACTTTATAGTAGTTATTTTATTAGTAACTAGTTTGAGAATATATCTATGAAGGCTACTAAGAAATCAGCAGTGTTTTTAAAAGACTATATTTTTGTTGGTGCCAGCAGCATCCAGATATGCTTAAAAGGGTACCACAGATGTGTAGGAGTTGGTGAACTTACTCATTCTGAAACTATTATTTGTGTGCATATGCTGTGCAGTGACACGGGAGTGCTAGCACGACTGGGATGTAGAAGGAATGAACGCCCTCTTGGACTCGGCCTGGAAGCTCAGCCCTTGTAAGGAGGGCACTTGAGTGTCTTCCCTCCCTTCTCTTCTGTCACCCTGCATTACTCTGCATGGCGGGGATAGCTTCCCACTCTTGAACTTTCCTGCCTCCTGTTCCTCTTGCAACCAGAAGCTCTGACTGGCTGCTGTGGAGTCTTTTGTTAAGAATCTACGGGTGGGGACTTCCCTGGTGGTCCAGTGGTTAAGACTCTGCACTTCCACTGCAGGGGGCGCGGGTTCAAACCCTGGTCAGGGAACTAAGATCCTGCATGCCTTTCAGCGCGGCCAAGAAATTTTAAAAGAAGAAAAGAAAAAAAGAATCAATGGGTGAAGCTATGAGAGTAGACCCTTATTTTAGGGGTCAGCTGATTTGACCTGATTTAATATGTGTGAGTTGCTTAAGCTCATTTCTAAATGTATTTTTTTCATCTTCTAGAAGCTCCCTTATTAAACCCAGTGCATTAACTACTGTGCTTCTCAAGGCCACAAATAGCTTCTCTTTCACTGCCTTTGCTCCAGCATTCCCTCCCCTGTTGGCTTTTTGGACTGTTAGAGGTAGCTGGAACGTTGCGGAGGTATCAGAGGCTCATAGCCGTGTGAAATGTGAACCTTCATCTTATCCTGCACTCTGAAAGATGACAAGAATGGCCCCATGATTTCCTGAGGGTCCCCAGCACACGTATTGTCTTACTTTTGGAGTAAGATACTGAACCCCTTAGATATAATCAACGTTCAGTTTGCTGTATATGTTTCTGTATTTTAAATACCATGTCTTCAGAGTAGCTGACTTTTTTTTTTTTAATCTTAAAGGTTTTGAAATCAGGATGACTTCCATTTTAGTATCTATAATATAGCATTTTTTTCTTTTCTTGAAAAGCTTAGAATGTCCGTGATCTAGAATTTAGGAATCTGAGCATTTATTAAATTTGGAATGAATATTCACACACACACACACACACACACACACAACCCTAGTATGGGGCACACAGTACTCACGCAGAAGCAGACTGACCTACCTCTCTTGCCCGTTTTTAGGTTTCAGAGCACCGTACAGGTGAGCAAGTTGCAGGACCTCGTCAACCGCAGCAAGACGGCCAGGTGCAGAGGACGTTTTGTCTGCCCAGTGATCCTGTTCAAGGGCAAGGTAAGACCACGCCTTAGCCTCGCACTCCCTGAGACCCTCTCGTGGGGTACCTGGCTTAATGCAAAGTGTAGAGTCTCGTGTTCTTGGCTTTTGCCAGCCAAGTTTGGGTGATTACTGGGTGCCTGGTGCAGTGGGAAGCAGGCCAGAGAAACAGACCAATTCTGATACAATTTTTGAAGGTGAGTCTAATTAGGAAAGGGACAGTCACAGCAGAGGACCCCACCCTGTGTCCTGGAGCCAGACTGCCTACGTTCTGATCCTGGCTCTGTTACTTCCTGCCTGTGCAAGGCCTCAGTTTCTTCCTCTATAAAATGGGAAAAATAATCATGCCTACATCAAAAGTTTGTGAATAGATTAGATCAGATGAGTAAGTACATTGTTGTTTGTTCATTTTTTCAGTCATATAATTTACCAAGTATTTATTGAATGTGTGTCGTGTTCAGGCCTCAAGGTACATCAGCATATAAGGTACACAAAAATCCTCACCCTTATCAAGCTTATATTCTAGTGACTGTAGTTAATTTGTCTGCCCACTATGGTCTCATTTCACCTCTTTTTATAATCCTTTGGTGTATTTGATATTCCCATTTTGCAGATGAAACGAAGGCTCAGAGTGGTTAAATAACTTCCCCACGTTTACACAACTAGAGAGCTGGGGTTTAAACTTAACTGCAAAACGCACTCAAGTTACCACACTGCAGCTTAGGGCCACATGGTGTGGTGTCAGAGGAACCCACTTAAGACGGGCAGCAGTTGGGGACTTCCCTGGCGGTCCAGTGGTTAAGATCCCGTGCTTCCACTTCAGGGGGTGTGGGTTCGATCCCTGGTTGGGGAACTGAGATCCTGCATGCTGTGCAGTGCGGTCAAAAATTTTAAAAAAAAAGCAAAAAAACCCCAGATGGGCAGCAGTGTGGACTGACAGACATGGCCTCATTAAGTGAGCGGGACTAGGCAGCAAGCATTGGAGGAAGGGTGGGAGGGTGTTCCAGGCAGGTGCCAGCGCCGGGGGAGCATGAAGCCAGGCGCGGAAAGTCCGAGAGACTCCCTGATGGGAGCGCAAGGTACGTGGTGGAGCCGAGGATGGAAGGGACTGAATGCAGGAGGCTGGTTGCTGGCCAAGGTGTTTAGGTTTGCTGGGAGAGCCACTGTGATTTCTGAGCAGGGAAGTACAAGATGCAAACAGCATTTTGAGAAAGATTAATCCAGAAGGAACGGACTAACAGAGAGCCTGGAGCAGGGGAGGGAAGCAGGGGTGTAGGCTCTCTATTCCTGTTTGTTTGTTTTTTTTTAATCTTTATTGAGTTTGTTACAGTATTGCTTCTGTTCTGTTTTGGTTTTTTGGCCGCCAGGCATGTGGGATCTTAGGTTCCTTACCAGGGATCGAACCTGCACCTGCTGCACTGGAAGGTGAAGTCTCAACCACTGGACCGCCAGGGAAGTCCCTTAGGCTCTCTATTCTAGTCGTCCATTGTGTACCTGAATGCGCTGTGGTCTTGGTGCCTGTCGGACTATAGTCCGGCTCCCAGCGCAGGTGAGGGCTGGGGCAGGGCAGTGGGGAGGAGAGACACAGGGCTTGTTTCCATCGCTTTGTGCCTTTCTTTTGTAAAATGGAAGAAGGGGGGATGTGAAAGGGGGGATAGGAAAGGAGACTTGACCACAGGCTTTCGTGGACAGGTCGATTTTAGGGACAAGTATGTCTGGAAGTCAAGTTCCAGAAATTGATCATCTTAAAGCTATTTATTCCCTCTTCCCCTTTGGAAAGTTTCGTGATGCTATAAGCTCTGGGAACTCCGGTTTAGATAACTGGACTATAACACACTGCTCTGTGGGGCATAGTGCTTGTTGCTAGAATTTACATAGGAAATACTCAAACCTGTGCTTCGCACAGTGTGTTCCACAGAATAGTAATTTAAGGATGTGCTTGTGCAAAGCATTCCCTGTCAAACAAGGGTGAGAGATAGCACGTTACTAGATAGCACGTTACAAGCTCCAGATTCAAGAGGTATATCGGCAAGTGTGCACTGACATAGGAAAGGCTCTGAGAAATCCTGAAGCAGAGGGACCTGTGTAGTGCTGTCAGGTCTGCTATTTCTCACTCGGCAGACCTTGAGGAAGGGACTTTCCGGAATGCATTTGGGAAAGTGCCACGTTGACCGGCTTAGTCCAGTGAGATTGCAGCAGGCCTGGGAGAAAGAGCCCAAGGCAGCTCATTTCAGAGGGAGGGCAAAGAGTTGGAGGGATTATCCTCTTTTTTTTTTTTGTCCATGCTGTGCAGCTTGTGGGGTCTTAGTTCCCCAAGCAGGGATCAAACACCTTATATACGTTTTATTCCTATTGTGTTTGCAAGTCTGCTGTCTCCTCTCAGCGGTAATCCCTTTGAGGGCAGAGGCCTTGTCTTGCTGCTGTCATCCCAGCGCCTAGCAAGTGCCCACCCAGCTTGTACGTGCAAGCTGGGAAGGTGGGAAGGTGGGAAGACACTGCTCTTTAAAGTGGTCGTGGGCTCTGCTGGGTTCTCAGGGGACAAGTGACTAAGACAGGCCTGTCCCTGTGGAGCTCAGTGAGTGGGGAAGGTTGACCTGTGAACTAGCAGCTGAGAGGGAGATGGCGAAGGGCAGGAGAGGGTCTTCTGTTGTGAGGTGGGGATCTCATCCTCAGAGACGTGGCTCCCAGCAGGCCCTAGCCAGTGCGGTGACAGCAGTGTTTGCTACCAGCACATCCTGCGGGGCTGGGGAGGGGGAGGTATGTTCAGAAGTGCCTGCTTCCTGCTTCTCTCCAGATTCAGTCCAGTGTGGCTGGGGCAGCCAAGGAACTAAATGTCTGATTGTATTTCATTTCAATTAATTTCCATTTTATAGCTGAAGCAATGTAGATTTTTTTGGTTAAACACAACTTTATTTTGGGGCAGGACTACGTTTCCCTTTAAATGCTGAAAATAAAGTATCCTAGTTGAGATGTGCTGCGAGTATAAAATACATGTTGGATTTTGAAGACTTAGTCCAAAAAATGTAAAACGTGAATAATTTTTAAAGTGATTATATGTTGACATAGTAATATTTTGGATATATTGGGTTAAATGAGATATATTATTAAAATTTTTTTACAGCTAAGTTCAAGCATTTAAGGGTAAGCTGTTCTCCCATGCCGTTCTCTTCCCCAACATCTGTATCTGGGTTTTAGGCAATTAAAATGGGAACAGGTCATCTTTCTCTTTGTTTCCTCCCTGAAAGAGATGGGGAGCAGAGGCCCGCTGCTTTTATTCCGTGTGCTAAAGTTGGTTACTACATTAGCATATCCTATAGAGCCGTATTTCTCTTGCAGAGTTAGAGGCCACTCCTAATTAGGTAAGTGGAGAGCATTCAGAGTACATCCTGCTTTTTCAGTCAAGAGCGAAGCTTAAAGTACAGAAATGGCAGATTATGCTTTGGAGCCCTGAGGCCAGGGAGCAAGGTCAGGTGTTAGACTCTGCCTTGGGGTGCAGCTTCCCCCAGGTGCCGGCTCGGGACCTTCCTGCAGAGTTTGGTGCTTCACTTGGGGAGCTGGCCCTCTCTCCCATTCTTCTCCATCTGATGAGGCCTCTGTGCCAGGTGTATCTGCCTCTGTTACCAAAAAGACAGGGTCGAAAAGAGATGGGAGAACTGAGCAGAAAGAAGAATCTGAACCTTGAAAAGAACTCAGAGCTCAGCAGCTAAGGAAGGAAGGGGTGTGTGTCCGCTCTGAAAAGATTTAACAGAGTAATGCAAAGAAGACTGAGATTTGGCGCTGGCAGCTTGGATGATGGGGGAGGGTGGGCATGATAACATGTGCCAGTCAAACTCAAACCACGTACCCCCCATTGTCTTGCTTTCAGGAATCAGACCTCCCTTCTTACCATGAGCGTCTTGGGGGGTCCTCAGCCTGAGGATTGACATTTCCCTGCTGCAGTTCCTAATTACTGGGTTGGTCTCTTCAGAGTAGGGCCTCTTATCAGGGGCTGGAGATGGGTCCATGGATGGACTTAGAGATGTAGGTAAACTCTGGTGTGTACATTTTTATCCAGAGACAGTTTATCATTTTCATCAGATTTTCAAAATGCTTTTGGACCCAGAAAAAATGAAGCAGCCCCCGCAGAGTGCATCCTGCTCAGGCCAGCAGGAATCTCTGCCCGAGCCCTTCTTCATAGGCTTCCGGGACAACCCTCCCACGATTGCATTCTTGCCCCCGGCACTGGAAAAGCACCCCACCCCGCCCGGGTTGTAGCAGGTTGCCTTTCTATCACCTGCCCCCTGCCCCAGGCTGCCACTGCCTCAGAAAGCCGGGTGATGACCTGCCGGTTCCCACCACACCCCTTTCCTAGCAGCAAAACCGTTTCTTTCCCCCTGTCTTACAAGTGGAGAAGGAGACCCCTTGGGCAGTATTCTGCAGTTTTTCAGGGACCCTCCTTACACTGCCAGGCTGCGTGACCCGTTCAGAAATGCCTTCCCCCTGCCTAGTGTAACCTCCCAGCCACCCTCACAGCCTCCCTCAGCCTGTAACTGGACCGTGGGGTCACCAGATACCTCCTCCCATTCCTCCTGGATCTCATCAAACACAATTTATAAAGATTCAGCCTTAAAGTTAAATAATGAAGTTCATGCCCATTGCCTGGTTTCTAGAATTCTAGCTCTTGAAATGCTCCTTCAGTGATGAGGGAAGAGTAAAAGGATAGTTAAGCACAGTTAAAGCCACTACACTTCCTTCATACAGAGGAGAGAGAAGATAAAATTTCTTAAAAAAAAAAAAACAAAACCCAAACATTTCTCCCTTAATTGGCCCTCCTGCTGCAAAGGTTGCCCTCCACTGCGATAAGCAGTTCTGGTGACGGTCAGCTCGCAGGCTCCGGAGGGAGGTGGGCTCGATCAGATCCCAGCTCAACCCCCTCTGTGGTACCTTAGGCATCACTTCACCTCCCTGCGCCCGTCCCTCGTCTTTTCATCTGTGAAGCAGCAACAGTGCCTGCCGCCTGCGACATCTCTCTCATGGGCTTGTGTAAATCCAGTGGGAAGGTGGTGTACTTGTTTCAGTCCTGTACTCACAAACACATGTGATAACCGCCAGATCTTACCCAAGTACATGCGTGACGACCACTGAATCTACCCATTACTGTTAGTGACACTCTGGTGCCTCTCGTTTGCGAGAGAGAACCTCTTGACGGAGGCTGCAGGTTAAATTCTAGGCATACTTGGGAGTGACTGCTGTGAAGACTTTGGGCAGCACTCCTGCATCCATTTTCCTGGCCTGGAGGGTCCCCAGGGGTTCCCCCCACTGTGTGCACTTCAGAAAACCACCTGACTGTTGGTCAGAGGGTACAAACTTCCAGTTGTAAGATGAGTAAGTTCTGTGGATCTAATGTACAGCATGGTGATTATAGTTAATAATACTGTATTAGATACATGAAAGTTGCACAGAGAGATGATCTTAAATGTTTTCACCACAAAAAAAGAAGTGGTGATTATGTGACATGATGCATGTGTTAGCTAACTCTATGATGGTAATGATTTTGCAATAAGTAAGCGTATCAGATCAGTGTGTTGTATACCTTAAACTTACACAATGTCATATGTCAATTATATCTCAAGAAAGGCTGGGAAAAACCAAACCAAAAAACTCCAGAAAACCACCTGACCCTGAAAATGCGGTTTCTCTCCCAGCATATTTGCAGGTCGGCAACGCTGGCTGGATGGGGGGAGCTGTATGGACGCACTGGCTACAACTATATTTTCTCAGGTGAGCGTTGAGCTGCACCGTCTTTGACTAAGAACAGGAACCCAGTGGTGGAGAATAGCCACCTAGGGCTGCAGTGGTGTAGGTGGAGGGGCAGCAAGCTGGGGGATGGGCAAGGGCCCTCCTTTCGTCACCTGAGGAGATGCTGGGGGTGAAGAACACTGCCAGGCATGTGGGGCTTCGGATGCTGAGAGAGGCAGGAGTGTGGTCGTTAGGGTGGAGCCAGGGGGAGACTGGTCAGGAAGCCCCTGGGTGGAGCCCCTGCCTTGGCCTCGGTGCTGACCGCAGGTTTCTCCCACAGGGGGTGCAGACGACGCCTGGGCAGATGCAGAGGATGTCACGGAGGAGGACTGTGCGCTTCGGTCAGTGCCAGGTGGTTATGGGTCTGGGCTTGGGTTGGGGGCAGGCGTCTGAGTGGTGGTGGCCATTTTCCTACTGACGGTCATGACCTCATCAGTGGTCCAGGCCAGTGGATTGGCTCCCTTCCTCCTGCTGCCAGGCCCACGCCCCTGCAACAGGGTTGTTGAAGTCCACCCTGTAGCTTCACCCGAAGCTGACTTTGTGGACTACCTGAGCAGTCTGTGCTCGCCAGGACTGCAGAGCGAGTGCCCCAACCCTGGGGTTCCTGGCACCCCAGGCCCAAAACACAGGCCAGACATCTGTGTGTCTTCAAGCCGCACGGTTTCCAGGGTGTGACGTCTGGCCTACCAGGTGATGCACAGCACAACCGGCCCGAGGCACAGGGCAAGCAAGGACTGTGGTCCCCACATGAGAGATGTGGGCACTAGAAGCTCCACAGCTGTGTGATAGGTGCCATAAGGCGCTTGCTACAGAGGAATGTTTTAGGCTCCCTTAAAGGGAAGGAGGGGGCTGGCTCCCACTCTTCCTACCTCCTTCCCAAATATTTTTAGAAAACGGCAGTAATGGTTATTTTGGAAAAGCTCCTTTGCATCGTCTGTACCACATGGAAAGTCTTTAACTGGTGTCGGGTGTCTCTGGAATGCACACCAGTACCCTGGTCAGATCAGCTGCCCAAAATCATGGCTCGGTGCATGAAAAGGCATCTCGCTGTGCCCAGCTTCTGCCCGTTAGTTCCAAGAGCAGTGGCTCTGGCTTGTGCTCAAGAATGTTTGGCTCTTCCCCCGGGATCAGACGACCTCTGCCCCAGCCAGGCCATCTTCCACAGTGCACACTGTTCTTGGTGAGGAGTCTGCTGGGGACAGCAAAGCAGTGGGCATTACAAAAAAAAATTAATGGTGACTGTTTATTCGTTCTGCTTTTGCCTTTATCTGTATGACTGATCAAAAGGCAGCCTGGGGATTAGGAAAATTTTATATTTCTCCTTGCTTCAGAGGCCTTCTAAGCAGAGGGAATTCACTTGTTAATATTTCACAATCAGTTGATAACATAGCTCTAAAAAGTCCATCTCCCAGTGAAAGTTTCAATCTGTTACATTTTGAGCAAGTCATATGGCTAAAAACAGTCATAAATGGGGAAAGGGAGGGGGGTGGAGAGAGATAAACTCTAATGGAGGCTCAAAGACTCTATCAGCCACTAGCCTGCTGCTTTTTAGAACTCAGAGATTATCTTGAGTCTTCTGGCTTAATGTCAAGCAGTGCCAAAAATCCTCTCCCGCCCCAGGTGCAGATTGCTCCTCTTTGAAATGCGTCCCAGAGAGCGGGATAATCACTTAGAAAGTCACCTTCCCTGGGAGCGGTTGTCCTCTCTTGGCCTTCCCTCTGTCTTCTGGAGAAGAGAATCAGAAATTCTTCTGTAGAAACTAGACTTCCTTGAACGTGCCCCTCACGCCCCAGACTTTTGTGGATGAATGTGCAGTGCAGCTTCTCCCTCTTGCTCTTTGTTTCAGAAGTTCCGACACGCATCTTTTTGATAAGGTCAGAGGGTATGACATCAAGCTGCTCCGGTACCTGTCAGTGAAATACATCTGTGACCTGATGGTGGAGAACAAGAAGGTGAAGTTTGGCATGAAGTGAGTGCAGGGCACCCCCTGCGAAGTGGGTGGAGGCCGCGTGCTCACAGGCTCGTGGGGTCGGAGATGGCACAGAGCCGTTACAAGGGCGCACCGCGTGCCAGGCCTCGTGCATCCTCTCCCTGTATCCTCACACAGCCCTCCCTGCAAGGAGGTTCTAGTGTCCCCCTCTTGCAGGGGAGAAACTGAAGCCAGAGAGGTTAAGTCACTTTCTCGGGGTGGTGCGGAGAGCACCAAGGGAGCCGTGGGTCTCTAACGTGTGCTCCGCTGCCGCTGCGCCATCTCTGGTAGATTAGAGTCTCTTTTAAAGTGGATCGAAAAAAATCAGTATTTGCTCAATTTTTATGTCCTGTGTGGAACAAATCTTCATACGGTAAGGGAAAATTAGAAACAAATGGAACCTGGGTTAGGGTGATGAAATTTGGGGAATTTTTCCAAAGTGTTGTTAATTTTCTATAACAGCCACTTTTAATTATGCCAAGTATGTCTTAGAAAATAAGCCACACTGAGGCTGTTGCAGCTCAGCTGTTTGCAGTCACCTGCACATCCCGCTGTCTGGCAGAGTAGTCCTGTGTCTCTCCGATGCTGTCTGGGAGTGTCCGCAGTGGATGCCGGAGAAGGTGGAGACGAGAGTCCGCCCCAGGGCCCCTTTTGGACAGTGTCTTTGTTATTTTGCTCTTTTCTCACTCCGCCCTGCAGGTCAGGGGGCGGTGCTGCCTTTGGGGGAAGCTTGTTCCACGGCTTAGGTCCCTGTGCGTTGCGGGTGCTGTGGGGTCCGGGGGAGTCGGTGCTCTCGCCTGGTGACTTGGGGTAGAGGCGGCAGAGCAGTCGCATTTCTTAGTCGTTCTAAGTAAGCCCCCTGGAGGGCATCATTCCTAACTCTGAACAGTAGTTTCTATAGCAGGAGGATCATTCGAGCTGTGGTAATGCTTGTGGGGAATGGTGTGCGTGTGTTGTGATGCCGTAACACGTTGTGTCCTGTCTTGTAGTGTCACCTCCTCCGAGAAGGTGGACAAAGCCCAGCGCTATGCCGACTTCACTCTCCTCTCCATCCCGTATCCAGGTAGGGGCTCTTTCCAGGGTCTGGTCAAGGGACAGGCTTCCCAGGACTGGGGCTCTTTGAGGCCCTCCTCAGGCCCTGGCCACTTAGGTGCACAGATGCCCCGGAGCTCTCGGACAGGATCTGCTGTCACTCAGCATAGGGCAGTGCAGCTCCTGGTCCCTGGCTCTCACCTTAGGGTAGGACGCTGTCCTTGTGTGTGTGTAGGGGGGCTTTCCCCTGGGAGCGGCCCAGGAATGGAGTCCTGGCTCAGGTCCTCCCTACTGCGCTCTTGAGCGAGTTACTTCACCTCGCCCAGCCTCAGGTTTTCTCAGGTATCACTGGAAGTTGGTGAGGCTTAGCTCAGGGTCTTGTTGTGCGGATTGGGTGAGGTCAGGTTTATCGGCGTGCTCTGTGCAGCTAATGTGCTGTTTCGGTGTGAAATGACATCGTTAGTCCTCCGTGTCAGCAACCATCTGTGCTGCGCTGGCTGTTGCCGTGGTGAGGATGTAAGTGCCCTGTCCCCAGTTGCACGTGGTTGGTGGCTGCACCGTGTCACAGAGCACCGTGGTGAGCACACAGCTGGCTGCATTTGTCTCTGGCACAGACTGTATGCGACCTGTGGCCAGGGCAGTGTTCTCTTCACTGGATACTGAAGCTGCATTAGTCCAGTTTGTAGCGTTTAAGCTTGCTTTCTGGCAACACCTGCTCGTTCAAGGAGGTATTAGAGCCCTAACATCAGCACCAAACTTTGTCAACAGACAGTAGAAAGTGGACTCTTTCTCCTTGAAACCTCTCTCCTGCTCCTCAGCAGTAGCACCTGCCTTCAGTCCTGTGCTGGATCTTGTCTCCTCATCTTGGAGCCATGTGGCCAATAGAGAGCAGGCTGGTGACCCCAGGTTGCAGTAGAGCCACAAGGCCTTCTCATTAGAACCTCAAGTTCATCCACTGCCTCGTGGGCAGAGGGTATATCCTCATCAGTGTGAGCTGGTGGTATCCAAACCACGACCCCTGTGGCCTGGCTCTCACAGTGTCCTCCTTCAGGGTCTCTCCTCACTCTTCTCTGCTAGCTTAGCATTTGGTGGCATGTAGGGCTGGGCGTGCATTCCAGTCCCAGCACTGTGTCCTCGAACAAGTCCCTTAACCCTTCTGAGCATCAGTTTCATCCTGCATAAAATGTGGTTAATGATGCTTATTCTGGGTGAAGTGCCAGACCTGTCCCTGACAGGTGCTCGCCAACACCAGGCCGAGTGACGGGTGCATGGGAGGAGAGGCTCGCTTTCGGGAGATGCAGAACCATGATGATGATGCCATGGGCTCGGCAGCGTCAGAGATGTGTCAAGACAGGGATGTCCCCACTGGGGGTCTGCGCTGGAGCTTCCCTCAGGTAGCTCTAGAGCTGGCTTTCAGACTAGGCTCCTGACTCTCAGGGGATGCTCTGGGGGTCCCCAGACTGAAGTACTCGCTGCCAAATGAACAGGAGAGGCTGAGCTGGCTGCGGGACCACGCGTCAGCCTTCTTTATTTGTATTCAGCTTCTCGGTAACACTTGGCTTAGAAAAAATTGTTTTGTGGGACTTCCCTGGCAGTCCAGTGGTTCAGACTCCGTGCTTCCACTGAAGGGGCATGGGTTCGATCCCTGGTTGGGGAAATAAGGATCCCGCATGCCGCATGGCAGCAGCCAAAAAAAAAAACAAAACAAAACAAAACACACCACACTTTAAAACAAAGAAAAGAAAAGAAAAAAAATCGTTTTGCTCCAGAACAGTAGCACAATATCCTTTCTGCTGTCGTTGGGCAGCTTGTTAAAAGACTCCTGAAATATTAACTAACACCTTTTGACCCAGTTATTCATTAGGCCATAATCCAGCCAGCTTGGGCCTGAAGATGTTCATCATGTCTGATTATACCAGCCAAACATGGGAAATGTTTTCATTAATCAGAATAATGATGATGTAAATGATGGTACAGCCATCCATAGTAGAACGAGATATTACATAGTCATAGAAAAATGCTTAAGGTGCTAATAAGCAAGATAGAAAATTAAATACTACAATCTCAACTATGTAAGAGAAAAGGTGCTTACACAAAATGGTAAGAAAAGAAAATGCCAGAATGGTAAGATGATACCGTCTCTCTGTGAATTTCCCCCCGTTCTTCCCGGGATATCGTGTGCTGCATCTGATAGTTGTGTATGGTGCGAGGGGAGGTCAAGAGGCATCAGTAAAAATCCAGAAGCCTAGGTGGCAGGAGACGCTGTTGCACACCCAGATGAGGGGACAGGAGAAGCACTTAACTTGCTTACCTTAATTACCTTGCGTCCTCTGCTCATGTTCTTGAATTTCTTTACATGCCTACATTATTATACTTCATAACAAAATTGATGTTATCCAGACCAAGTCCTGAAATGCAGTCGGCTGCCATTTCAGGGGTCTCTGTTGAGCCCTCTGATGACTTTGAAGCCCAGACAGGAACTGCGGTGGTATCAGTTCTCTGTCAGACTAACTTAGGCTTAGACTAGCCCTTGAAAACGAGAAGTGTTCTGGGAGCACTTCCTTCAGGGCACCAAGATAGACGGGGCCAAAAACTCCCCAGCATGAGTCTAATTTGTTTCCCTCTTGAGCGAGCGTCCGTTCTCACTTCACTTTTGGTCCTGTCTGTTTGCCTCTCAACAGGCTCAGAAGCCTGTTCAGGTAATGAATGTCAAGGCATTGCCCTGGGTACTGAGGCTGCTTTAATTCTCTCCGTTTCTCACAGTCAGTTGCTTCTGCATTATATGCTGGTCAGAGCTCGGCCTGGAGCCTGCAGTGTTGATTCAAGCGCTCAAGTTTGAGAAAACAGAGCACTTTACGGGAGTTCTGAGGAATGATTGGTGTCCCTCCTAAACCCAGGCTCATAAGCTCAGGGCCTCTGTCTGATATTTATATTTCTTCTTTCTCCCAGTGAGGCACCCAAGAATCCGCTGAAGTGTTAGAGCTGAGGATTGATTCCTGACTTCCCCATCCACAGTGAGGCCTGGGGGATTCGAGTGCAGGAGTGTGTGGGATGGTGAGAGCCAGGTCTGCAGAACACACAGGCTAAGTCTCCAGACCTTCCTCCACGAAAGAACCTTTCCTTTCTTCCCTGGTGTGGCCCCAGACAGGAGCATGTCCCAAGAGGAGCTGGAGAGTTCTGTGTGGATGTTTATGGCCTGTGGCTACTTTGACAGAATTCAGGCAACTGTTTTGTTGCCTTTGGGAACCTTACCAGACTTGGACCTGTGGCCAAAGCCTTGTGCCTTCTGGAGTTTGTGTTGGTCCTGGTGGAGGAACTGAGAGGAGTGCAGGCCTCGTTCTCCCCAGGCTAAGCTGCAGGGCTGCACTGGGGCTCTCACTGCAGCGGTGGCATGAGGATGGCACCAGTATGCTGTCACCTGAGTGCCCCTTGTAGCAGTGCTGTGCCAGCTGTTTTATACGTATTGTTTCATTTCATCCTTAACCACTTTACAAATGAGAAAATCAAGGCTTAGAGAAATTAACTTGTTCACAGTCACAGGGCTACATGAAAGGCTGAGGTTTGAAGCTGGGATTGCCAAGGCCCTTTTCTCTCCACTCCTCTCTCTGTTCCTGAGGTCTTACCCTGGTGGTATTTCTTATAGTTTTTCTGGTGAATGATACAGAAAGCACATCTTGGCAAGGTTTGTTGGAGAAGGACGTGTCTCTTGAGCGCCTGTCCCATTTCAGGCACTGTCCATGGTCCTTTCTCTCATGTTACAATGTTCGGTCCTCACTGAAAGCCTGCGAGGTTGGTACAGGCAGACCTCATTTTATTGCTCTTCGCTTTGTTACTCTTCACATATTGCATTTTTCACAAATTGAACATTTGTGGCAACCCTTTGTCGAGTCTATTGGAGACATTTTTCCAGTATTTGTTCACCTCATGTCTCTGTCACATTTTGATAGTTCTCACAATACCTCAGACTTTTCCATTATCACTCCATTTTTTATGCTGACCTGTGATCAGTGATCTTCGATGTTACTACTCCACCTCACTGTAGGCTCAGATTATGGTCACCGTTTTTTAGCAATAAAGTGTTTGTTGTTTTTTTTGGCCGTGCTGTGTGGCTTGTAGGATCTTAGTTCCCTGACCAGGGATTGAACCGGGGCCCACAGCAGTGTACCAAGTCCTAACCACTGGACCGCCAAGGAATTCCCTGAAGTATTTTTCATTTAAGGTACTTTTTAAATTTAAAATATATATTTTTTTAGACATAGTGCTATCACACACTCAATAAAGTATAATACAGTGTAAACATAACTTTTAATATGCACTGGGAAACCAAAAAATTCGTGTGGCTTGCTTTATTGCGGTGGTCTGGAATTGAACCCTCAATATCTCTGAAGTGTGTCTGTAACAGGAGGGAGGGTGATCCTCCGTAACTAGGTAAGTTGCTGAGAAGGTGCTGCCAGGGCTCAAACTGTAAACCGCGCTGTTGTTCGCTGGCTGTTGGCACTTCAGGGACTTGTAGGGCAAAGGGACCTGAAATGAGAGAAAAGTGACCAAGAACCAGTGAGCACAGATGGAGAGAGATACAGAGGTGTGCAGGCAGGGGCTGCATCATCGGGAAGGTCTCTGGCTAGAAACCCAAGGAGCGTTGGAGGCTCCCGCTCGCCTGGTCCAGCCTCCACTCATGTCATCTGGGGCCCACTTCGGAGTGTGAGCGCTGGTGGCCGCCCCGGTCCTCCAGCACCCAGGGGCATCTCAGGACACTGGGCCAGGAAGGGTGGTGTCATGACTCTGCCCTTCTTTTCCAGGCTGTGAATTTTTCAAGGAATATAAGGATCGGGATTACATGGCTGAAGGGCTCATTTTTAACTGGAAGCAGGTATGAGCAATAACATTCATCAGCTTGGGTCTTCTGTTTGTGAAGGGAAACCAGCCAGTAATCTTCTTGGGGAAAACAGCTACCCTCTCCTTCCTTTGCTCTTCCCTGAATGAGTCTCATTATTTTTCTCTCTCTCCTCCTTGTATGTACATGTTTAAACTCTCATCATATATACTTTTCTCTCCCCCTTTAATTTCTCCTTTTCTTTAAAAGAGTTTTCAGGGAAAAGGTAGGAAAAGTCCTTCATTTTTGCTCCACTCTCTGTGTGAAGAGCTCCCCCTCAGTGCGTGGGAGCAGCCCAGGAGCTGCCGGAGGCTGAATACGCTGATCACCTCTGTGTCAGCCGTAAACACTCAAACGGCCAACTGAAAAGCTCCACTTGGCAGCAGTATCTGGTCCCTTTGATTTTTAAGCTGTCACTCCCAGGGTGGCACAGGCATCTGGCCCTGAGAAGGCGAGCACTGTGGGGGGACATCCTGCCTGCTTGTGGTAGCCACAGCTTCAGGGCCTCAACCTGCCTGGTCATCCTGGCTTCTCCTGGTGGACAGCCTGTATCTCACAGTGTCTTTCTGTCCCCAGGACTACGTTGATGCCCCTCTGAGCATCCCCGACTTCCTGACTTGCTCTCTGAACATTGACTGGAGCCAGTATCAGGTGAGGGGACCCCTGGTGCCTGCCGCACAAGTCCCTCAGGCAGACACCTGAAGGCCTGGCTTGTGACCTCTGACCTCCTGGGAAAGGAGGAGCTGCTTACCTGTTGAACTCTCTCTCCTGATTTCTTGGCCCAGAAAATGAAAGCTTTCTGAACATGACTCACTGAAAGATTTGCATCCACCAGGGGGTTCTGTTTCCAGAGGAGGACCTCATGGAGTTTGCTTTTCCAGCTCTGGGATTTAGTGACTTTTTTCATTTTACCTTTTAAATGCGTGTTCCATCAGAGAAAGTGCAGAGCTACCTGACCTGATTTGGTTATAGAAACCTTAAAATTATTTCCACTGTGCTTCTCTCCTCTTTGTCATCGTCTGCCATGGAAGGGTCCCCAGTCTTTTTTTTTTTTTTTTTTTTAATTTATTTATTTTTGGCTGCATTAGGTCTTCATTGCTGTGCGCAGGCTTTCTCTAGTTGCAGCGAGCGGGGGTACTCTTCGTTGCGGTGCGCAGGCTTCTCATTGCGGTGGCTTCTCTTGTTGTGGAGCACGGGCTCTAGGCGCATGGGCTTCCGTAGTTGTGACACACAGGCTTGGTAGTTGTGGTGCACAGGCTCTAGAGTGCCGGCTCAGTAGTTGTGGCACACAGGCTTTTTTGCTCCGCGGCATGTGGGATCTTCCCGGAGCAGGGCTCGAACCCATGTCCCCTGCATTGGCAGGTGGATTCTTAACCACCGTACCACCAAGGAAGTCCAAAGGGTCCCCAGTCTTACTGGATGGATCCATCTCTCTACCGCGTTTAGCCCACTGTACAAGCCCACAGGCCATTAGCTGTGTCCTTGCCACTTGCTTCAGCCAGGACAAGTAGCCTCATTGTTCCCACTGCCTTCCCCATGTCTGTTCCCTCTGCCTGGCTGGCCCTCCCAGCCTCCTCTTGTCTGGCTGACACACTGCCTTCAGGATTTGGCTCGAGTGTCCACTCCAAGAAGAATTCCCTCATGTGCCTCCTCTCCCCCATCCCTAGAGAGGTTGTATGCTTGCATCTACATTCCCCTTAATCTGGGCTCTGGGCCCGGCCTGGCCTGGCCTCTCTCGGTGATCCACACCTACTTCCTTTTCCAAGCGTCCCGTCATGCAAGCACCTCAAACTCAAGCTGCCCAGAATGGAATTGGCCACAACCCACAGCACCCCCGGGCCCTCCACCATTTACCCAGATGCTCAGACTCGAAAAATGGGGGCTCTTCTCCCCAACACCCATGGCTGGTCCCATCAGTTCTGTAAGTCTCTGCCCCAGGGAAACTCCCCAGCCCTTCTTGCCTCCATCCCTTAGGTCACTGGCCTAATGCAGGCTACCATCGTCTCATGGCTGAGCGTGGGTCCATGTTGAAGGGGCAACCGACTGGAAATAGTGAACGTAAAGCATGTGAATAGGGCCTGGCAGAGCGCGATACTCAGATGATGGGGCAGGGTCGTCACTGTCACTCCTTCCTTCACAGCTGCCACTGACTTTCCTTTTTCCCTCAGGATAAGTCCAAGGACCCTTATGTGGTCCACCCAGCTCCACGTGGTCCAGGCTTGTTCTTGTGACTCACTGGCTGTCCACTCCCTCTCCTCCAGCTACCCTGACCGCCTCTCCACCCCTTAGGGAAGATGCTCTCCAGGTTTGCACATGCTCTTCTCTCTGCCACAAACACCCGTGTGCTTTCCCTCCCCTTTTCTCACATGCATGTCACCATCTCCAAGGAGCCTTCCCTAAGGGTCCCCATGGATCAGGCTAGGCTCACCTCCCCAATTACATGGTCCTGCAGCATCTTAGAGGGCGCCTTTTAATTAGCACACCTGCAGCACTTCACTTTGCCTTCCCTTCCCTCCAGCCTCAGGGCTGGAGTCATTGTGTTCACTGCTGTGTCCCAGGGCCAGGCCCACAGTCACGTTCACACCACTGTTTCCCATTGCACGAGCCGTAGTGCATGTGTGGGTGTTGCTGACCTCTATGTAGCCAGATGGAATTCCATAAAGCTCTGCTCTTTCATTCTGTGCCCGAAGACCCCTTCCAGTGGCTGCTGCTCCTCAACCTGGCCCCTGACTATGACTAGTCAGTGAAAGAACATTCTACAGGTACCTCCTAGTCCCTAAGCACGAAGCCTTACAGATGCAGACGTGCCAAAATGGCCTCCGCCCTCACTGGGCTCAGTCTAGGAAAATTCCGAGGCAACAGCATAACCATCACCTGCGTAGTAGGGGTATTGACCAGTGGCCACAGAAGAAGACTCTGTAGAGAAGATAATGGGGCTGGGCCTTTAAAGGATGAGTAGGAGTTTGCCAGCCAGGGAAAGAGGCATGCACCAGGCATGGAAACGTAAGGCCGATATGTGGTACTCACCTCTGTACCCGGAGGCTTTGTCACGGCACACATAGATTGAGAGAGTCAGAGGTGAGCCTAGATTTTCATGCATTTCCCAGGTCCTCTTCTGTTTCTCACTCTGGTATCTGAGGAGGTGTTCCTATAGTGCAGTGTGTGACCACAGGCCTGGGTCCAGACCCCAGCTCAGCTTAGATGTGTGACCTTGGGCCTCTGCCGACCCAGCGCTCCCCAGGCTGTGGTTCCTGCCCCAGCCCTGGGCACGGTGGCCAGCGGAGTCTGCCGCCGCTCCTTGGTCATTTATGTCCCCTTCAAACAGCTGCCGTTGTGGGAGCTGCCCTGCGGGCTCGTGCTTGGTCACCTCCTGCCCTTTCCCGGCCGCTGCAGTCCTCCCCCAGCCAGCCTGACCTCCCTGCACACCTGCTGCGTAGCTCCCACCTCTCCTGCTTTTCCTCACCCGCTGGAATCACAGCTCGGAGGAAATCTCTTGGCAATGGTGTGTCTGACACGTTGAACCAGATGAGCAGAGAGACCCCCGAGCCACCATGGGTAGTAATAAGTTTATTAGCACGGCACTGCAGCGGCTTTCTCTGGAGCTCCTGCAAGTGGGTCAGGACTCTCCAGGGTCCGTGGGAAGGTCAGGTAAATGAGCCTGGTTTAAATTCCTGGGAAAACCATTCCAATTACAGGTGCTGTGTTCACCCTCCCCAGGGGAGCGCTCTCGCTAGCTGGCATTCACCGCCTTCTCTGCACAGCCCCAGACACTGAGAAGCAGTCATGTTAAGAGACTGTCCCCAGCTAGGGGGAGGGGGCCACAGAACTGGGTCAGGCCCCTCCGTGGGCTTCCGGATTCCAAAATGGACTGTTTCTCAGAGGGTCTAGTCTGGACCTTTAGCTTGGGCTAGAACAGAGGTTCCAATCTCTATGGCTTTTGCTTGTTTTTGCTCTCCCACCTCTCGGGCCTCCTGTTCTAAAAGATTTTTGTTTACCAGACAGACTGCATTTGTTACTCATTAAAAGACACTGCAGTGAGTAGCAATAAAAAACGTGTGAAACCTGATTGATGAGAAGGTTGATGGTTACCTTGGTTTCTGTGATGTGATGGCAGATAAAGAAATGGCCCTTTCCATTTGGTGACAATGGCCATGGGCTCAGGGCTCTTTGTCGGCTTCTGTTAATTCCCTAGACAGCCGTGCCTGGAGCCCAGGGCTCAGAGGAGCTTGTGTCCGGCTGCTGCTCGTGGCTGTGGGGCTGTGGGTTGCCCAGGCTCTTGCACGGCTTTCCCTCCCTCACCCGCACGTTGGGTCAGAGCACACTGAGGGAGGGGCCCGTGGGGGAGGGTGCAGGGACGTGTGAAACGTGAAGTTTCAGATAGTCTGGGATTTGGGACCTGTGGCCTGTGACCATGAGCCTGGGGTACTTGTTTCCCCAGAATAACTCATAGCACTTTATTTTAAAAATGCTTTAGATTCCCATTCTGAGTTAAACACCTATTCATGGAATCCTTTTCTTTTTCTTCTCCAACAGAGTTGGGATCTGGTGCAACAAACACAAAACTACCTGAAACTGCTGCTTTCCATAATTAACAGTGACGGTGAGTCTGCCTCTGCTTGCCTCAAGCCATAGGATCTTCTGGGTGTTCCCAGGTCTTGACATCGCGAATGTGTGTTTATTGGGGCCTTTTGCTCTATGGGAGAAGGATTTGGGGATTCCCTTGTCATTGGCAGATTTATTCCATGCCCAAAATTATGAACTTGTTAGCGTCTGAACCACATTCAGCTGGCCTTTGAGCTTTCAGCACCAGCCTTTTGCTGATGTGTTTCTGCACTGGGTCAGCTGGCCTTTGTGCTTTCAGCATCAGCCTTTTCGTGTGGGGCTGCAGTGGCCTCTTTTGGTTCAGAAAGGTGAGAGAAAGTCAGTCCTGGCCTCTTCTTGGGCACACACAAGAGCCCCTGGAGGGCCTGTTCTCCAGAGGGTACTCCAGCCAGTTTGACTGTTTTGATTGGATGAGCCCATCATGCTCAGTGTCCTAGGGCGGTCTGACTCTGGTTCCTCCATATCAGTCAGGACCTGTGTGGGGTTGCACTTGCTTGAACAAATGGAAATGTATTCGTTTATTTAACCAAGAAGGCCCAAGAGCAGAGCCAGGTGCCAAATACCACAAAGAATCTCTCCTTGTCTCATACGCACTGTTTAGTTAGCTTCATGGCTGGCAATCGTTCCAGACTTGTTTCCTGCCGTCTTAACCCCTCCAGAAGAGGGAGACGGCCTCTGTCCCAGAGCTCCCGCTCATTGCCTCAGTTTGGATCCAGTGCCCATCCTTGAACCGGTCACTGTGGCCATGTTGGCAGAAACATCACATGCCTGCCTCTGGAGCTAGGCCGTGGTTCTGGGGTGGCCTGGCTCTCACCCCAGGCCAGGGCGGTGGCACATCCCCTTTTCATCAGCCCGTGTTTGCTTCTCTCCTGGGCCTCCCGTTCCATGTTCCTGTGTAGATGACAGCGGACTGCTAGTACACTGTATCTCAGGCTGGGACCGGACGCCCCTCTTCATCTCTCTCCTGCGCCTTTCCTTGTGGGCTGTGAGTATGGACGGGCTGGGCCGTGGGGTCAGGGAGCATTCAGAGGCCCTTTGTGAGTGCTGGGACTGTTTCCAGAAAGCAGAGAGGCTTCGGAGCGAGGGACCTCACGTGTCCAGAGCAGGTGTCGTGTTTAACCCCGCTCCGGGGGCTGTCAGACACCCTGGTTGTCACGGGGGCGGTGGTTGTGACTCAGCCCCCGAGGCCAGGAGGGGGCCGTCGTGGGGAGGCTTCTTTCTGATCTGGGCCCGTCTCTTCCAGGACGGGCTCATCCACGCATCCCTGAAGCCCGCTGAAATCCTCTACCTAACGGTGGCCTACGACTGGTTCCTCTTCGGGTGAGCCTTCGGGAACTGTCGGGCTGTGGGGTGCTCCGGTGCTTGGGAACCGCCTTTTTGTGTGCGTGGGTGTGGTGGCCCCTGTGACAGGGTTGAAGGCGAAGACGGTCCCGCCCCCTTGGGAAGAGAGAAGGTGTGGTCGGGCCCACCTGAGGCTGGGGTGCCAAAGCCATGGGCTGTCCCTGTGGCTCTGGTCCCCCTTCATCCTCTTGTCTGGGAGGTGCTCGCTTTGACCTCCTCGCCTTCTTGTTTCAGGCACATGTTGGTAGATCGACTCAGCAAAGGAGAGGAGGTGGGTACTGCTCACGGTCTGCGAGCACACATCAGGGCTCCGCGAGCTCGGGCTCTTTTACCCCCAAGTGGGACAGGGAGATGGTCTGTTTGGTGTCCACACTTTGGGGCCGTTCCTTGCCTGGTGTGTGCTGGGATCAGGCAGCGTGGCAGGAAAAGCAGCAGCACAGCAGCCCCTTTCTGAGCCTCAATCCCCCTCTCTCCCGGAGAGAACACTTACCTGTGACCTTCGTGTGTCAGTCCTCTTCCCCCCCTTCTGTGCCGGCCTTCTTACGAGTGACCTTGTTTTCTGCACTCAGCTCTGGAACCAGTTTACAACTGCTTTCCTGTGCCCCTCACCCTCACAGCTAAAGCCAGAAGCTCTTCCCTGTCCTCCCTTGTCTCATCACACCCACTCGGCAGCTTTTAAGCCCCAGGGCCTTCCGTGCAAGCAGGGTCCTGCCAGCTCCTCACCCCCCGACCAATCCCGGCCAGCGGGCTGTGGGTCCCCTTCCTGTCCGCGCGCTGTCCCTCCTTCCTCCTCTCTGCCCTGTCCGCGCCTTATCCTTAGCTACCTTTTTTAGTCTTTGGCTCTTCGGTACTCTTGTTTTCAGCCTGTTTTCCCTGCACACAGACCTGGAGTCGGACCTGAGTGTGAACCCCAGTTGTGCCACTTACTACCTGGGTGACCTTGGGTAATGTGATTAACCTTGAGTCTCCCCGTGTCGATTCTGCTGCCTCACAAAGAGAATGAGTCCAGATGCCCAGCGTGGGAGCTGCACGCAGTGTTGGCTCCCCCCCCATTTTCCTGAGGCATCTTTCTCACCCTCCTGAGGCTGCCTCTTTTCTGGGCATCTTATCTTGTGCATTCTTCTTTTGTTCCTCCCTCTCAGCTGCTCCTCTCCCCTTCTAAATCTCTTCGTTTGAGCACTTATTGCATCCGCTAGGACTGCAGAGCTCATAAGCCTGTTCCTCAGAGGCCTCCATGAACTCTGTCAGAGGTGGTGACTTTGGCACTGAAATCCACACGTAAAGCGCCTTTGCAGCCTGTCATTTTGAGATTTGCTGGAGCTGGCGCTCCAGTACCTGCTGACCCCCATGCTGTCTCCCCGTCCCCAGAGCAGGCCAGATTCCACCTTCAGAGACTGGGCAGGGGATGCGGCTGAGCCCAGTGGATTCTGGACTCAAACCCTGGCCACGTCTCAACATAAACAAGAGGGTCTTCTCAGCTGGGAGGGTTGGCAGGATGTGGGCTTTTCTCTTAGCCCTCCCTTCCTCCCCGCACACACTCAAAACTCTGATACTTTAAAAACATGCAAAAAGCTGGGGCCTGTTAAACAGCTCCGTATCCCTCCTTTGCCTTTGAGGCTCTCAGAACATATTAGCATATTAAAGACTAAAAAATCTGTGGTGAAGACACCTATTTAATTTTATGTAACAGGGACTTCCCTGGCTGTCCAGTGGTTAGGACTCTGTGCTCAGGACTCCATGCTTTCACTGCCAAGGGCCCAGGTTCAATCCCTGGTCAGGGAAGTAAAATCCCACAAGCTGTGCGGGGGCGGCCCCCAAAAAAAGTTATGTAACAAAGTTTTCATACTGGCCTGACCTAGGCGCCCTCCCTCCTTTTTTATTTTTTTAGGACCTCTTAACGGGGCTCTGGGATACCCTGTGGGTATTTTTCCAAGTGAGGGGTTGATGGACCACACCTTGCAGAATCAACTGCAGAGACTATGCATTGTGTGCACTTCACAGAGGCCCGTTGGACCAGGGCACTGGCTGGAAGAGAGAAGAGAGAATTTGCTCACGGAGCTGGGGATGTGGATGCAGGGTCAGAGCTCAGGAGCCTCCTCCGGCTTTGCCCGCCTCAGACTTCATCCTGCCCCTTACAGTTTCTGAACAGTGCAGGCTGCGGGCCAGGCAGTGGCTGCCCCTCAGCCCTGGTTCTCCTGAACCACTGTTTCCGGGTATTTCTTCTACAAAATCTGATCTCTTGCCCTTGCATTGTGTTCCTGCTGTGTCCATTAATCTTCTTGCCCTGAAATTCTCTCCCAGCTGTCCTTCCCTGTTAGCCTCTTTCCCTGGGGTTCTTAGGAGAGGCTGAGAGGGAGAAGCAGCTGTTCTCTTCCTCCTTTTCAGTAGCTTGAGAACATGTGTGTTCAGTTTGAAGATGGTTTGAAACATCACTGGCTTACCCTCTTGCGTCATTCTCAGGAAGGAAACGCCCTTCCTTCCTTGCCCCAGCCCAGGCACACCTGCCCGACCTCCTAAGCCTTCTCTACCGCCCGTACTGTTTCTACACCAGAATATCCAGCAGGGTCCCCAAAGCAGGGCTGCTGTCCATCAGGGGTTGACCAGGGTCACTGGTTGCCCTCTCCTGGGAGTTCTGCCACCTAGATTCTTCTCCCTGGAGACTGCTATCTTCTCATGTGTGCTGCTTTTTGGTCTCTCAGATTTTCTTCTTCTGCTTCAATTTTTTGAAGCATATCATCTCTGAGGAATTCTCTGCTCTGAAGATACAGAGGTAAGGAGTGACCTGCTCTCACTGGGAGCAAGGTGCTCTGGGAAGGGCCGCGCTAGGGCGGTGGGTGTCTTGCTCGCTGCCTTATCCCTGTCCTGCTTCCCTGCATGCTTGGCAGGCTGGCTTCCTGTCCCTGCCTTCCCTCTGAGGGCAGGTAGGGGTACCTGGGGAGGGCCAGCGGCTGAAGAGTCTCATCTTGTGACCAGGAGAGCAGGGCTCGTTGATGCAGGGAAAAGCCAGCCCAAGGATAGGGGGACTCCCAGCTCCCCGTGCCACCGCCATGGCAGAAGCTTCTCCTGCCTGAGCTGATGGCTTCCTTCCCTGTGCTGCTGCAGAGGGGTGTCTGCACAGCCCACCACAGAGCAGAGCCTTTTTCCAGCCTGGCAAACACAGGGGTCTTGCTCGGTAATTGCTTTAGGACCCCTGTGAGAGTAGGTGTCTTTGCTTGCTTTCCAAGTCCAAGCTTTCCAAATCCAAGCTCCTAGTGTGCTGGACCAGACTGGAACTCTGAGGGCCACACTGACAGGGAGGCGGCAGGCTTTGCTGGCCTCTCAGAAGTGGGCCTGGCTTTTCTGCAACAGTTTAGGTAGGACCTGTGTCCATGAGTTTCCAGTGAGTTGGAGCTTCTTTCCCAGGTGGACAGCGTTCAGGGGACGTGGGAGACCTCAGCCCAATCTGGAATTCACTGTCCTGGCTTCTGTTTATAGGAGGAAGAGTTTGCCAGCCCGGGATGCAGGCTTCACTGTGGAAGATATCTGCATGCTGAGTGAGTCATGGGCCCCAGCAGATTTCCTCTGTATATCTTTCTGACTATAGACCACATAGGGACTGCTTGTTCTAGAAACTTCTGTGTGGAAGAGGTGGGGGACCCCTAGCAGGAGAAGATATTGTGCTGATTGATGGCACTGGCTTCTTTCAGGACGGAAGGATCGTGGCAGCACCACCAGCCTTGGCAGTGACTTCTCTCTGGTCATGGAGAGCTCCCCAGGAGCCGCCGGGAGCTTCACCTATGAGACCGTGGAGCTGGTCCCTGCAGGAGCACAGACTCAGGCAGCTTGGTGAGGGCCAGGCTGGAACTAAGCTTGCTAAGAGCTGTGAGCCAGGGCTCCAGCTCCAGGGAGCCCCAGGAACAAAGGGGCCCCCGACAGTAGGCCTGAGAGCTGAGCTCCATGCCCTGCTGTCTCTACTGGGCCTCAGAGGCCAGCCATCTGGTTGGTGGGGGGCACTGCGGGATGAAGGAGGAAGCTGCAGGGCTGGGAAGACAGGGTCGGGTGAGGGGGGTGCTGGTGTTAAAGGGACTTCCTGGGGGTGCTCCCTTGTATCATTTGCCTGGGAGGTGGGGGGCCAGCTTAGAAAAAGAAAAAAGGGGTGAGTACAAAATAATGATTGGGAATTGGGAGCTTGTTGAGGGTCAGCTCCTTTGAGAATCAGATGACCTTCCCCGTGGACAAAGGGCTCAATATTTTTTATAACATTAGCAGGGAAGGTCAGTTACTAAAGTGTTAGTTAAGAATCTGTTTTCCAGCATGTGCACTGAGGCCAGCAGGCCAGTTTTGTTCAGACGTAACATTCCCTCTGTGAAGACGCAGCTCTCGCTGCCCGTGGCTGAGCCCAAGGGAGTGCTGAAGTATGCCCACTCCCATGTGGCATTTTTCCAGTGCAAGTAAAAAGTGGGCCCTGAGATTTAGTACAGGTGGGCAGAGGGTTTGCCTGAGGTGGCCCCTTAGCCAGCAGCCCTATCTTTCCACTGCAGGAGGAAGAGCCACTCATCCTCTCCACAGAGTGTGCTCTGGAACCGGCCACAGCCCTCAGAGGACCGCCTGCCTTCCCACCAGGCACTGGTGGAAGCCAAGTCCTCCAGCTCCTCTTCCTCGAACCATTCTGACAACTTTTTCAGGCTGGGTAGCAGTCCCCTGGAGGTCCCCAAGCCCAGGTGAGGACCTCCAAAGTCCTAATGGTGGGGTGGCTAGCCCTTCCCTGTTAATAAGGCTAGAGAGTGGGGTTCCAGGGCATGCGGCCTGGCAGGCAGTGTACCCAGGAGGCCAGAGGGGATCGACAAGCTTGCAGGCTCACGCACTGTTTGGAGGATGCGTTAATGTTTGGATACAGAGCAGGAGCTGGTTCGCAGAGGGGTTTGAGACTCCCCCTTCCCAGAGCCCTGGCGGATGGGTATCCAGAAGGTGTAGTAGTTGTGATGTCATGGGCAGGGAGTTGGGGCTGCCCCTCCCTCTTGCCTTTGCCAGGTCTCAGCCCCCCCTGTGGACCTCACATTCTGATTAAAGAGATGGCGCTAGATCCTCCGAGGTGCTTCTGGCTCTCCCGTTCCTCGTCTGAATGGGTGGGGCACTGAAGAGGACAGACCGTAGGGAGCTAGGCTAGATGTGTGTGGCTGGGGCAACCCTCGCTGGCCTGCACATCTGGAAAGGGAGCAGCTCAGCCAGGATGGACAGGTGTGGCTGGAGTGTGCTGCAGAACTGATGTTTCCTTGGTGAGGTTAAAGCTGAGCACTGGCCAGGGGCTTAGGACTGAGGGATGGCCTGGCATTTGGGGGAGGCATTTCCTCGCTGACCCCGTAACACTCTTTCCATGTCATACAGCCAGGGAAGGAGGCCTGTGAATTACTTTGTTTTCTAAGGCCTTGAGAATGTCTGGCCCTTCTGAAGAGAACAAAGAAATGTGCGACTTAAGAGGTCCTTAATAAATTCCAGGGAGAAAAGACATTTAGCAGAAAGATCGTGAGCGTTGAAGTCCACTCTAGATTCAAGCCCAGCTCTGTTGGATACTGCTCCAGAATTTCAGGTCTTTCCTTGTGGCAGGCATGTTACCAAGGAGGAAACTGAACCCAAAGGTCACAAGCTTATTACAAAGAAAACCCTGAAACTTTGGGAACTCTCCTCCCATCACCGTCCTCTGGTTTTTCCTTTCTGGGCAAAAGCAAGCAATGGAGGAAGGTGGGGACGAGCACCCTCCCCACATAGGCTGAGCGGATGAGCTCTAGGTGAGTGGAGCTGCACTGTCCAGAGGGGTCCCATGTGCTCACCTCTGGAGGTGAGCCCTTCAACTCGGAGCACTGCCATGTCCGTCAGCGCTGTAGCTGAGTCTGTTAAATAAAGGCCACAACCCCTCTGTCCCCACGGGTTTGGTGGAGGCAGCTGAGCGGAGAGGGTGCCGAGCACACAAGCCCACGTGCCGTGCTCATCCGCATCCTCTGTGCCACCCGCTTGTCTCTGCAGCTTTCCTCAGGGCCCCTGTGGGCCTGCTGCGGCACTGTGTGACCCTTCCTCTTCTGGGCCGGAGCTCTTGCTCATCGTCCCTGCCTCCTTTTCTGCCTGTGCAACATCGCTGGACAACTGGGAAGGAAACCAGAAGATTCCTCCTGTCCCCTGGGTCCTCCCTGGTCTTAACTGTCCAGCTGTTGGGGGCTCCCCCACTGAGGCAGCACCCCATCATACACCGTAGCTTTTCATCATACTCCCTTCTTCCTGACAAAAGATCCTAGTTCCGATCTCGTGGTCACTTCCCTCGGTCTCGCCACTGGTTATCTGCCTGCACTGGGGGCTCAGATGCTTATGGCTGGTCCAGGATGGTCCAGGAGGCTGAGGAGGATTGGGGGTGTCCTCCTGATCTCATGGCCCTGTGAGCTGGGGCCTGGTGAAGGAGGCTGGAATAACTGGGCCAAAATGGGGCGCCTTGGAAAGGCGTGAGGTGGACTGCTGTGAGGTGTTTGATGGCTCTGCTGGTTTATTCTGGGAGTGCCTGCTTGTAGCCAGGCTGGGCTGGCCAGGTGACAAGGTTCTGGATTGGCTGCTTGTTTGCCAGAGGATTTGAAAGACTAGTTTATTCAGATTTGGAGCATTCTAATTATAATTACATATTTCCATTAACATTAAAATTAGTTTAGTCTCTCTTATCTTAAAGTGCCTGAGGGATTCTGTCATTAGCTTTCCTGCTTCTCTTAGGTAACAACAGCCAATCAGCTTTTTAGTGCAGCAAAGGGAACTGTGTGGAAAGAAACCCTTTAGTAACGCTATCTGTGACGGCCGAAATTCCCCTTACAGTGTGAATTCTCTGGGCTTCCTATGCTCCACATTCCCAAGTTCTACAAGAATATCTCTTTCAAGGTAGGACTTCCCTGTGAAAAGAATTGGTGAAGCTTTGTTCAAAGCTAAGAACTACGTGTCAGATTCAGAAGAAAGTTCTGTCCCCACCCCGTGCCCTTCACTGGCAGGACTGGTGGCCCTTTTGCATCATTAGCTGCTACTGCAGCAGCTTCTAACGGAGCTGCGTTTCTGGACCGTTGTTAAACCTCTCGCCACCTGCAGGGCTGGGGGCTGGGAAGAGGCAGGAGCAGTGCTCACGTGCCTCTCCAAGCCCTGGGCAGTAAAGCACCCTGCACCGTGTGTAGTCTTGGTCTCTGCTCCAGAGTCAGACGTCTTTAGGGATGGGGGTTGCTAGCATAACACTGTTGTGCCTGAGGAGGGATGGTGCTACCACTGAGCCCAGCTGGAAGCCAAGCTGCCTGAAGAGCACATGAACTTGGCTGAGGGACATCCAGCGGCCTGGTTGCTTAGCTAAGTGACAACATAGGTGCCAACTCTGCTGCCCAGATAGCTGCTCTTTCCCCATCCTTCACCACCTACTAACTGCTTGTTATGAGCAATGAGCTCTGTCCCCGGCTATGTTTAATGAGGCTGAGAAACCGGATTGCTTTCTGTAACACATAGGGTTCCTGTCTTAACGTTTGATGTGTTCTCCCATGGGGCCACAGCTTCAGACTAGAGATGAGCGGTGAGAAGCCTAAAGGCATTGCCAGCTTGAGACCCATAAGAGAAAACTTAGAGCCCCAAAAGACTTCTCCTTGGGCTGCTGCAGGAAAGCAGAGGTCCCTGGTTCACACAAACACACACACCCGCACAAACAGACACACAGACACACACATACCCCAATGCCTGAAGTCCAGGCTGAGGGAAACTGATGACTTCAAATCTGATGAATCTTGTCCTAGCCGTTTTTGAAGTCACTTGTTCCGAGGAGTCAGGCCCTTGTTGAACCGAAGGATTCTTCCCTAAGGCCCCATTCCTGGAGGCGTTCACTTGGGCAGAGGCTGTGGGACCATCACCTGGAGGCTTGGTAGTGGTGGGGGGTAGGTACAAATTAGGTGACATTCAAGCTCTCTGAAAGGCTAGGATTCTGGGTCTTGGCTCAAATGTTCGTTCCCTGCATGACTTCAGACATGTCACTTGATAGCTTTGGGTTTCTTTTTTCTCATCAGAGGCTTAAATGGGCAACTAACTGCCCAGGTCCTTCCTAGCTGTGAACCTTCAAGCCCTCTCTGTGAGCTGTCAGATCAGGTGCTTTTAGATGCAAGTAACAGAAAATCCATCTCAAAAGAGTTTAAACAATAAATGAAAACGGTTGGTTTACGTTGGAAAAATGCAGCCTTCAGGCGCAGCTTCCTCAAGGTTCCAACTCCGTTTCCCTATGGTTCTTTCTCCTTGCCTCTTTCTACATGCTAGCTTTGTCTTCTGGCCAGCTTCCCTAATGCTGGCTAGCTACTCCATGTGCTTCCTTTCTCACATCCAGGGACCACGTGAAGGCCTCTTTTCCAACCATAGATCAGAAACTCTGTGCTTTATTCCAGTTGGAAGTTGGAGGTGTCCATCCCCGAGCCAGTCCCTGAGGCCTCCACCATCTCTTATCAGGAAGGAAGATCGGTGTGCTATGCGGCTAGCATGGGTTTTGGTCAGACGGGGTTTCAGTCCCAGCTTTGCCACTTCTAGCTGTGTGACTTGGAAAAGACACTTCCCTTCTGAGCTCAGTCTTTTTTATCCCGTCTTTAAAGTGGGAGTAATGATCCTGGTCTCCATAAGTTTGCGTTTAAGTGAGATAATGGAGCAAAATACCTGGCACATAGTAATACTCATCCTTTCCATGAGTACTGGAAATGCTCAGTAAACTGTAGTTGTGGTTAAGACCCGTCCTTATCAGTCTCATTTCTGAAGGACTATGGGCTGTGTCAGGGCACTGGGCAGCTAGGTAAAAGGCCAGATCAGGTACCTCAGGCCAGACCTCTTTCTCCTCGCCTCAGCTGTGTGGCTTGGGCCAGCTCTGCTTGTGTGGGTACTCCTGTACCCCCTTCCAAAAGGACCAGCTAAAACACACTTGCCTGAGCTGGCCCACAGCAGGGGTCTGGCAGGTGTGGGGCAGGGTGGGGCCATTTAGCTCTCTTGGTGCTGTGAACAGGGGCTTAGGCCATACCCGTCTAAGGGAGTGAAATGTTGCCAAGAAGCCAGCCTCCTGGGCAGAGGTCTGGGCCCTGGGGATGTGGATGGATGACCTTGGAAGCACTGTCAGCCCCTCAGTTGTCCAGTTTGAGGGCGGCTTGGCCCCGTGTGCCCTCCAGTCCTTTAGATAGATCGGTGGAGGTAGATGCTGTGTTTGCACTCGAGTAAGGGTATAGGGCAGAAGAGCATGGGGTTTTTATTAAGGCTGGTTGCGTTACCTGTGTACTGAGGCTAACTTGAAAGTTTTCCTTCCTTCTTTCACTCGGCAGGTGCAGGTGCTTCCTTCTCGTGACTGTTCCCTGTCATCTTTAGGTGCCCCCTCTAGCCAGCTACTCCAGATGTGCACTTACGAGGACCTCTTTGCTTAGCACAGCCCCTTGCTCTCAAACCCAGGAACGCAACGGTTGCTTTGCAACCCTTTCCTTGACAAAAGCCTCAAATACGAAGATTCATTTGGAGCCTGTGTGCTCACTCTTGAAAAAGATGCAAAAGATGGTTGGCTGCTTGCTGAGATTCCTTTGTGACCCCTGGGATCATGCGCCCTGTTGCTGTCTGTGCTGCCTACTCCATACTACAGCTGTCCCCGGGCTGCTTCAAGCATGGCTCTTGCCTGGGGGTGCTACCTGCTGCACACGGGAAGTACAGGCAAGGGACTAGCCTAGGAGACCAAGAGCCCGTGCTGGGAACCTCTCTGTAACCATATTCCATCTGTCATTTTCCCATTGGAAGTGTGAGTCTCTGATAGCCCTGGGGAGTGGGGTTAGGAGCATAAGAAACCCCCATGTTCCCTGCCCCATAAGTCCCTCATCCTACCCAGCCTCCTCTACTTCACATTACTTTCATTCCCTCAACACTCTGCTGTTTAGCAATTATTTTCCCGAAAACGGGAAAAGAAACTCTGCCTTACCTTAAAGTTTGAGCAAGAGGTGAGATGTGTGGAGCCAGGCTGCCCTCAAGAGGGGTTGCATTGACTGAAGACTCCGGCATGACCCAGGGGAAGCACAGGGCAGGCACCACACGGTGGCGTGTAGCTTGCTCTTGCACGTAGGCAGCGGTCTCTGATTTACAGACAGTTAAGGATCACCAGAGATACAGTGTCTGGCCTGAACCCTACCAAGTTTCTCCACGTAGGAAGAAGGAAGCCCTGCTTTGTCAGTCACTCGGGCTTCCACCAGGTAGCAGACCATGACCTGTCCTCATCCCCAGTGCTGCTGTCATACACCTTCCAGAGTAGAGCAGGAGCAATGAATATGCCAAGTCTCTATGTTGCAGGGTGGGTCCGATTCATGGCGGCTTTAACGTAGAAAGCTAGCTGTTTTCCCTGGTCTCAAGGTGGTTCTGTTGTACAGCAAATCTGTAATCAATCTTGGCTTTAAAAATCTATTCTTGCACTCTGTAGCTGTGGAACCTTGGGTGAGTGTCCTTACCTGTCTGGGCTGCCATTTTCCTTCCTCTAAGAAGGAGATGAGGGCTTCCCTGGTGGCGCAGTGGTTGGGAGTCCACCTGCTGATGCAGGGAACACGGGTTCGTGCCCCGGTCCGGGAGGATCCCACATGCCGTGGAGCGGCTGGGCCCGTGAGCCATGGCCGCTGAGCCT